CGCCGGCCCCGGGCAGCGCGCCCCCGCCCCTCTCCCGGGGGGACACCCCCACATGGGGACCGCCTTCCCGCGGCCCAAGGGGGGACCCCTCCAACGGGGATCTCTGCCGGGGGACCCGCGTCCACCTGTCCCGTGGGGACATCTCCAACTGGGGACCTCCTTCCACCACTCCAAGGGGGGACCCGCGTCCACCTCTCCCATGGGGACATCTCCAACTGGGGACCTGCTTCCACCACTCCAAGGGGAGACCTTGGCACACCTCTCCAAATAGGGGACCCCACTCAAGGGAACCTCTTCTAGGGGGGGTCTTGTCCACCTCTCCCATGGGGACAGCCCCAAATGGGGGCCTCCTTCCAGCTCCCCAAGGGGGGAACCCTCCAAGGGGGATCTCTTCCAGGGGGACCCGCATCCACCTCTCCCGTGGGGACATCTCCAAATGGGGACCTCCTTCCACCACTCCAAGGGGGGACATCTCCAAAGGGGATTTCTTCCAGGAGGACCCACATCCACCTCTCCCATGGGGATGTCTCCAAATGGGGATCTCCTTCCATGTCTCCAAGGGGGGGATGCCTGCCCACCTCTCCTGGGTGTCCCCTCCCAAAGGGACCTCTCCCAGGGGGACCCTTGTCCACCTCTCCCATGGGGACACCTCCAAATAGGGACCTCTTTCCATCTCTTCAAGGGGGGACTCTTGGCTACCTCTCCCAGGAGACCCCTCTCAAGGGGGCTTCTTCCAGGGAGGGCCCTGTCCACTTCTCCCATGGGGATGTCTCGAAATGGGGACAAATTCACCTCTTCCATGGGGACATCTCCAAATGGGGATCTCCTTTCACCTCTCCAAGGAGCGGGGCATGCCCACCTCTCCCAGGGGAGTCCTCCAAAGGGAATCTCTTACAGGGGGACCCATGCCCCTGTCCACATCTCCCATTTGGATGTCTCCAAAGGGGGGACCTCCTCCGCCTCCTCCCAAGGGGATCTCTCCAACAAGGACCCTCTTCTGCCTCTCTAAATGGGACCCTCTGGCCTCTCTAAGGGGACATCTCCAAATGGGGGAGCTCCTTCTACCTCTTCACGGGGAGCCCCTCCAAAGGCATTCTCTACGAGAGGCACCTGTATTCACCTCTCCAAGGAGATCCTCTCTAAATGGAGGACCCTCTCCCGCCTCTTCAAATAGTGGACCCCCTCCAAAGAGACCTCTCCAAAGGGGACACCTCCAAACAGGAAAATCCTTTCTGCCTCTCCAAGAAGGGACCTTCCAAGGGGGACCCCACTCTAAAGGGGACCCCTTCAAGGGCTCCTCTCCACCCTGACCTCCCTTCTCTCTCACCTCCAGGCTACCTGATCTCCAAGTGCTGCTTCCCCATCTTCAAAGCCAAGACCGGCAAAGCCAAGCGAGTCCGGACCATCTTCACCAGTGACCAGCTGGCCCGACTGGAGAAGGAGTTTGCACGGCAGCAGTACATGGTGGGCACAGAGAGGTGCCTGCTCGCCTCCTCCCTGCACCTCACTGAAGAGCAGGTAAGCCCCACCATGCTCCATCTCCACCTGCTCCCACCAGCAGGTCCAGGGAGGCTCCCAAACCCGTGTGCCCACGGGTGGGACCTGGGCCATGTCCCTCAGCCTGCGGCAGGAGCCGTGTCGGGTAGTAATTTCAGCTAATTTACATTAAAGGGGTGGAGGATCACAGATGGGGAAACTGAGTCACCAAGTGGCTGTCCTAGGGCCACGTGGAGGGGTTGAACTTGTGTCCATCTTAAGGCTGGACCTTCTCCACCACTGGCAGGTCCCAGCTCACCAATGCAGGCTCAGCTCCTGGCTTGCAGGGGACCATTTTCCATCTTGCTAGGGACAGAGCGTGGCAGGGGACCTCTCTCCTGGCCAGGGGATGTCGGAGGCTGCGGGCATCTAAGGGTTTGTGGAGTGTCTGGGCACTGCCTGAGCCACAGGGGTTTAGCAGACCATGACCCCGTGGTCCGTGGAGAAACCAGGTTTGAAAGCTGAGCTTTACCTCTTCCTAAGGTGAAAGTCTGGTTCCAAAACCGGAGGATCAAGTGGAGGAAACAAAGCCTGGAACAGCAACAAGCCAAACTGGCCAAAATGGGTTTGGCCACCCCCCAGAGGAGCCCCGACTCGCAGAGCCACCACGGCGAGGAGGACAAGGACTTCCGAGCAGAGCCAGAGGACGGCCAGGAGGACATGGCCTCCTGCCCGGGCTCAGGGACAGCACCCGCACAGACTGTGGCAAAGAGCTGCTGAATCGCCCCTTCGGGCTGCTTTTCCGTGTGTATTATATGAATGTATCATAGCTGGCAACGAGCGTATCTAATATATACAGGGCACCCATTATTTTTGCAGTGCGAAAATAAATTATTTATGCAACTCTTGGGCTCATCTTTGCAGGAGGAGGAGGAGGAACAACACATGCCTGCAGTGGCAGCAAGCGTTCAGTGGGGGCTTGTTCCTGGGAGCAAGCCCTGGAGGACTTGGGGGAGTAGGGGCCACCTGCACACCCCACCCACGACCAGCCCCGTAGCCAGGCTCGTCCCAAAGGCGCTGGGTGCTCAGATATCTCCTTGTGCTCTAAAATAGCTCAGGACCTTCACAGAGCCCAGGTCCTTGTAGAGGAGCTCCATCTCACGGCCCATCCATCTCCATCTTGCTTCCAGGTCCTTGTAGAGGACCTCCATCTCGTGCTCCATCCATCTCCATCTTCCTACCAGCAGCATCTGCACCATAAAGCCCTGCTCTGCTCATGGCTCATGCATCCCGACCCAGTGACGGCATCCTGCTCTCCGGGTCTTTCAGAGTCAGGAAAGTTGGGAAAACCAGGGAAAACATACCTGGAGAGCAGAGCTAGCAGTGGCTTTGTGAGCTGGACGCCTGGGGTGCCATCTCAGCTGGGCAAGGATTAGCCAGGTTTTAATTTTAATTGCTTGGCCCTGCTTAGGCAGTTGTGGAGGTTTCAAATCCAGCAGGTTTGGGCTGGACACCGGGCTGGGGATGAACCAAGGGTGGGCTCCATGGGGAGCCGGGGAGGGAGCGAGCACCAACGGCCCTGGACCTCCTAGATAAGAGCAGTGATGGGGACGTGTGGGTGCTGTGCTCGCCTGGGCAGCGCCGGCTCCTGCTGACCGTGTTGTCCCCATGTCTGCTCTGGGCTTGGGGCTGGAGGAAGAAGGGACCCAGGTGGAGGGTTTATTTGGGCAGGAACGAAACCTGATGCAAGGAGAGGGGGAAAGGGGATGAGGCAAAGAGAAGGGGATGATCCAAGGAGAAGGGGGACAACGCAAGGAAAGAAGGGACAATGCAAGAAGGAGATGATGGCAGGAGAGGGGGACGATGCCAGGAAAAGGGGACAATATAAGAAGGGGATGATGCAAGGAGGAAGGGTTGGTGCAAAGAGAGGGAGCCAATGCAAGGAGAGGGGGATGATGCAAGGAGAAGGAGACGATGTAAGGAGAAGGGGATGGTGCAAGGAGAAAGGGATGGTGCAAGGAAAAGAGGACAATGCAAGGAGAAGGGGACGATGCAAGGAGAAGGGGATGGTGCAAGGAGAAAGGGATGGTGCAAGGAGAAGGGGATGGTGCAAGGAAAAGGGGATGGTGCAAGGAGAGGGGGACAATGCAAGAAGAAGGGGACGGTGGCAGGAGAAGGGGACGATGTGACGGAAGCTGCCCTTTGTCCGGGCTGTTTTCAGAGCCGGGATTAGCCAGCGTGTCTCAAAGAGCCCAAACTGTGCTAATGTCTTCACATGTCTGCTGAGAGCCCGGGCTGCGCCAGCGGGGTTAACCCGCTAATCTCGCCTGCTGGTGGGTTTATTGCAATCATCCCCGAGACAACAGGGCTTACGGGGGATGTTTTAATATCGCCTGGCCGGGGGCCGAGCTGATTGCGAGAGTTAAGTTGTTCTCAGGACACCTTTAATCCCCTGGGAGCTGGCCGTGCTCCACCTCGGGCAGGATTGGGCCTTTTGGTGGTGCCGGGCTCCTCCGGGGCAGGCAGCGGGGGACCGGTCCCCAGGCCGGGGGATGCTCCTGCAGGGTCTGCCCAGACCCCTCTGCGGGCAGCATCCAACCAGGGAAATGACTTTAATTAAAACTGCTGGGCTTGATTGAGTTTTGCAAAAGGTGACTTTTATGTGAGCTGAATTAAACCACGTCCATCCCTCTGGCCCCTCGGGCTTTGGCTGGGAGCCTTTTCTGATGGTGGGTGATGATCCTGGAGGGGGTGGCGGGTCCCTGGGGGTGCACAGGGCTCAGGACGCCTGTGTCCCCTTTCCTACCTGCCAGGGGACGGCTGGGAGCCGGGGAAGGCCATCCCCTGCCTCCCTCCCAGCCAGCGATTAACCTGTTTGCAGGCTCCTCAGGGTGGGGAAGGGACGGTATCTGCAGGACAAAGCGGCCGATTACTGCTCCAGTGGGGATGAGAAGAGCCAAACGCCCAGGTCTGAGCCTGATAACGGGATGGAGCTGATGGTTTTCAGAAAAGCTGGATTCAGCCGGATCATTTTATGCCCTGCCAAGCCCCCACCAGCCCTAGCATCCCAGAAAGGGGACAGAAATGCAGTTTTCTTCTCCCATTGGAGACACCTCCGTCCCTGGGCTGGGGAGCAGGTCTTGCAGCTGCGCCCAGCTCCTGGCAGCGCGACCGGGGCGCATGGATTGGGATCAAACCCGGGCACAGCGATTTGGCACCATGGAAAATAAGGCAGAGCGATGCTCCCAGAGCTTGGCAAGGTCTTGGGCTGGATCAACCCACCTGGGAGAGAGCCTTGGCTACTCTCATCCCCCAGGAAAGCCTGTGCAGAATAAGAGCTGTGTGTCCTTACCCAAACCCCACATTCATCCCCAAAACCCCGCTAGTCCCTTCCCAACCCTGTGTATCACATTGCTCTCTCAAAGATGCCGTTTTTTCACCTGTCTGCAAAAAACAAGTTGGCTTTCAGCGACAGATAATTATAAGGAAGTGAGAATTAAGCAGCCTTATTAAGAGGATAAAGGTTATCTGCTAAGGACGCAGTGCTGAGCCCTCCCCAGCAAATCTCCGCTCTGTAGATAAGTAGGTGGCTTGTAGGAGGACAGGTAGGTTGTGAGACGGGTGGGTGGATGTAGCAGGGTGGACTGTTTGCCCAGAAGAACAGCCTGGTCTGCATGGGGGTAGATGGATGGGTGGATGATTGGGGATGAACAGTGAATAGGTGCAAAGGGGTGGCTGAGTAAATGGGATGGGATGGAGATGGATGGAGAGATAGGAGAAGGGATAACCTAGCACAGGGGTCCTCCGCGTCCCCCTCCGTCCTGCCAGGATTATTCTTGCTGAGCACATGGCGACGGGCGCGATTTGTTTGCACCGGTCGCGTTTACTCAGTAGAAGTTGGCGACGGGCGCGATGTGTTTGCACCGGTCGCGTTTACTCAGTAGAAGTTTGCGGGATGGGGCGTTTGGATGCTGGAGCAGCAGGACCCCTCCAGCCCCCCAATCCCCATGACCCAGCCGCTTTCCCAGGCGCCTTTTGCATCCCTTCCCCGAGCCGGCAGCCCCCTTCTCCTTGGCTGATTGCCCCCTCGCGCTCTCTTTTCGGGGAGTTTTGCTAAATGGGATTACCATGTGCCGAGGACGGGCCGGGGTGCCGGGGAGGGCAACACGCTGGCGGCGGAGGTTCAAGGCAAAGCCCGACCCGAGCCGGGATGCGGGGCGCCGGGGTCGGCCATGCATGTTTCCAGGCTCCGTCTCGTCGTGTAATCTTGTTAAATGGTCAGGGAGCATTTCCCCCTGCTTCTCCCTCCCCTTTAATTCCCAATTGAAACATCAAATAAGCTTCCCGAGGCTGCCGGGCAGCTCCGACGGCTCCACGCTGCCTGGTTTCAGGGGAAATTTAAAAAAATATCACTAGCAATGGGAGGAAACTCCACGACACCCCAACTTTTGCAATCTTTCTGGGATGAATTTGCCCCAAGTTGCCTCGCTCAGCCAAAGAGCAAAGGCACCGATAAACTCTCAGCTGGGAAGGAGCTCCTGGATGCATGAAAATAAGGGTGAAACGGGGTGACCTGCCTGGAAATGCGGCGGGGAAACCGGGTGACTAAGGAGACCCCTCACATGGGGTGAGAACTGCAGAGGCCAAAATCTCTGGATTTAAAAATCCTGTGTTTAAAAAGGTCTTTATCTTGCAACGAGAAACAGGGCTGCGGACCATGGACTGAGGGCTGTTGGAGCCAGCAGCACCGTGCCTAAATCCTGCGTAGGGCTGCGCAGGGTGGTTCGGGGTCTGCTGAGGGAGCCCCAGGCTGGGTTTGCCTCTTAAAAAGCTGCTGGTGCTCACCCCACCGGCTCCCCTGCTCCCTGCTCCTTCCTCGCCTCCCATCCCAGTCTCAAAAATGGAAAGACTGGGAGGAGAAATCCCTCCTCAGCTCTGCTCCCGGCCACGCACATGGCAGGGCCTGCCAGAAACCAGTTTGCTTCGTTTCAGTGAGACGAACTGTTAGGAAAAAAGAGAAAAAATGATGCGAATGGCACCATCTCCCTCTTTGCAAATGGTTTGTGGCACAAAATCCGTCGGCCCCGTGGCACTGCCGCCCTGGCACGGTTGGGCTGGGCTCTCACTGGGGGTGTACTGGGGGCACTGGCACCAGGCACCCTCTGCAAGGGTGTGATTTTATTTTAAAAAGGTGATTAAATCATTAAATCAAGTAAGCCCTGACGGTATGGGATGAGTAAGGGGATCTGGCTGGGAGACGTGGATAAAGTGCTCCCCAGCTCTGCTAAATCCACCTGGGACTTAGGCTGCGATGCTCCCGTGCCTCAGTTTCCCCAGCTGTGGGAGCTGGGTAAACGCAGCCCTGGACACGTGTGGTGTCAGCTCGATTCGTGCTTATCCCGCTCCCACTCAGCACCCCTGCCGAGAGCCGAGCCGGATCCGACCCTTGCTCTGCCCCATCCTTCCCCCACTCCATCTCTATTGATTTAATAAGATGGAGAGGAATTAACGGGGCCGGAGCATTGGAATAATGAAAGATGAACAAAGGGGCAGCGCTAGCAAAGATGCTGCCAGCTTTTAATGATGAGGCCGGGCAGATCCCCTGCTAGCTGTCCCTTTGGAGTGGCGATTAAGAACATACTGTTATTGTTAAGGCAGAGAGATAAATCCCTGCACCGTTTCTGATGTGATCAGCCGGGGCTTCTCCCTACAATTTGTGATCCTATTGTGGACGGTGTTTGCCCTGGGCAAGGAGAGTCTGGGAACCACTTATGAACCATCCTTTGGTCATTAGTCTCCTCATTAGGAGAGAACAATGTGGGAGAAAGAAGATAATTGAAGGGAGCAGCGGGCTGATCGGGCGCTCAGGCCTGTACCAGGGCTGCCTCAATGCTTAGTTTGGATATAATTCCCAATTAATTTTAAATACGTGGGTTTGGGATGCTCTTAATACCCGCACTCGCAACCCCTGTGAACACCGTGGTGGTGTTCAGGTCTGTGCTTGACGGGAGGACCACGGAGCACCCTCCGAGGCCTCGCCGGAGGGCATCACCTTGTTTTTTGGGGATCAGCCAGACTTCGGGATGGTGACCCCATGGTGGGCTCGATCCACTCTGTATTTGCAGGGACCCCCAGCACCTGGGGAGGGGGATGGGATGCAGCAGGTCCCCGCTCCCTCATTTCACATCTGGCTGAGATGTGAGGCCAGATGTGACACCGAGGGATGTGACACTGAGGAACGGCCCTGCTTGGATCAGGGACAACATCTCCCCATGGAAAGGCTGGAGCAGGACCCAGCCTTGCTGGGCTTAATTCAGATCTTGCCTGGAAATACCAGCCTGGGTGATAAATCACAGGAAAGGCCCGAGGCTCTGGGGGGAGAGGTGCTTGGCAATGGAGGAGCAGGTCCTGTCCCCATCCCCGGGGACATCACCCTGCCCTGGGGAGGAGGGGGAAAGAGCCGCAATTCCTCAGGATGCTTGATATTATCAAGTGCTAATGAGACCTGGATGGGGCTGGGGTGCTTTGCAGGCCATTATCCCAAATTAACCTGACAATGAAGCCGGGGCCAGTGTCTGAAGGGCAGCTGGGGTGTGTATTGGCTGTCTGGGGCGGGGGGGGGAGAGGAAGGTGCTGCTCCCCTCTGCCCGCACCCCTGAGCTGAAAGCAAGGGCCCTGCATTTGCAGAGTTAATTTCCCATTGCATGAACGTGTTGAATCGGCTCCCCGAGAGCTTGGCCGAGCCAGAGCCGGGGTAGGGTAAGAGGGACGGAGAGGACAGGGGAGCGGGGTGATCTCCTCCCCAGACGTATCCTTGGCGTATCCTTCTTGGAGGAAACTCTTCTGCTCCCAAATCCTCGCGTCCGTCCCACGCTGCTGCTTGCACAGGGCCTTTGCGGCCCGTCCAGTGCTCGGGAAGTGGATCAAACTGGGAAGCACTCAGCTGAGAAGTAACCATGGTCTCAGAAGCAGCATTCCCCCGCAGCCGGCGGCCGTCCCTGCGCTGGGCTCTCGCAGGGGGACATATGGGGCTGGCCGTACTCTTGCCACCTGCAACCGGGGCTCCCATTGCCGTATAACGCCCTCAAAGCGCAGACGGCGTCGTGCCGTCGCTCCCGTCCTCACCCCAGTTTGGGTCTGTTAATGGGACCCTGCAAGGTGCCGAGGGTGCGGGAGGCAAAGCCAACTGTGGCCGGATCCCGCTGCAAACAGGAGAGGGGGGGTTCGCCAAGAGCTTTCGACGCCAGCACCTTGCTCGGGGGCTCTCTGCGCGTCCCCAGCACCCTGCCGAAGGCGGCAAAGCGGAGGCTGGGCAGCACCCCGGCACCCGGCACTGCCGGGCGCTCCCGGAGCGGAGAGCACGCGCGGGAATTACCGTTAGCCGGAGTAATTTCTCTTTTTCTAGGCTTTGTGATGAAGGAACCAACACGCATCCGTTATCCTCCGGGGAAAAAACCCCGTGCTCCTCTTTTCGCAGCAAAGATGAATCCCCGTTCCCCTACAGGATTCAGTGGGATCCGACTTGGGAAGGGGCAAATCACCAGCTCCGGGAGCCATGTGATTTGGGGACGTTCCTCATTGCCTTTTATTATCGGATCATGGATTATTGTTTATTATTACTATGGATTATCACAGGAGAAATGGCTGCAAAAATCTGTCACAAGGCTAAAAGCTAAAGTTAGTGTTCGGAATCCCATTTCTAAGCCAATTTTTATGTTTTTTAAGAGTAAAAGGCACGAGCTCATGGTTTCAGACTCCTTAGGTTGGCAGTGCTGGGCTAGTTATCCTAATGAGCGCAAGCACACGCCTGTCTAACCAGCAACAGGCGCCCTGGGATCCATCTTCCCCCTAAGTGGATGCGGCTGAAAGGATGCTCTCGGTCGAGAAGACGTTTTCCCACTCGCAGAAGGACTCACGGCCCGGATTACAGATGCAGAAAATGCCCATCGCGTTTTCGCGTGTGCTTGCTGTGGGTTTTGGGGAAATTTCCATCACTTCTTTCGCCCGCCGGGATGGTTTTGCAGCTCGGGGAGGGATGGAAATGGAGCCAGGCTCTCCCCACCGATGGAGGCGAGGTGTGAAATTTCTCATGGGCAAACAAGTGAGAGCCGCGGGGTGCCCAGAAGAAGGGGGACAGCGAAGATGAAGGGGGGGGAGAGGAGGAGGAGGGAAAGCAGCAGCCAGAGAGAAACAAAAATCCCCAAAGCAGCAACCTGGTTTGAAGAGTGGGGCGTTTTCTATGAGGGGATTGTAAAATGCACTCTCTCTTTCCCCTTTGCAGGGGGGAATAAGGGCCCCCACTCTATCTGATAGTCATTAGCATCAATTAGCCCCGTTTGAAGTAGGCAACATCTTTGTCTCTCGGCAAAAAAAGAAATAAAAAAACCTTTCAGGGAGCCCATAATAACATCTGGAGCAAGGAGAGGCTGAACTCAAGTTCCCCACTTTCATCTCTTGTCGAGGTACTTGGAATGTTAATGCAGCCTCATTCTTTAATGGAGTTATCAGGAAATGCTTTTCACCTCCTTCCCTTTGCGCAGGGGGATGTTTACAAAGGGCTGGGGGCTTTTTTTGTTGTTGTTTTGTGGTTGGGATTTTTTTTTACCCCCTTAAGAAACCCCCTCTTGAAAAACAAAACTGGAATAAAATAAAATTGAAAAAGAAAAACACCTACCCTCCCCCCCCCCAAAAAAAAAAAAGGGACGCGGGGGGTCCCCGGCCCCCGCTCCGCCTGGCTGCTGGGTGCTATATTTCCCAAGTCATTACCAGCCAGTGAAAATTTCCAGCTTTCCAACCGCAATGCATTAGCTGAGCACACAGAACTAATGGGAAACAGGACGCGTCATTAGGCAGCGAATTGGGCCGAGCGGGAGAAGCCGAAGGGAAAAGTCAACCGGTGCTTTTGTCCGTCGCTCGGCCCTCCGGCTCGCTGTCCGTCCGTCTGTCCGTCCTTCTTGCCAGCAGCATCGCACCGTAACCCCCTGCCCTGCCGCCGGCTCGCCCAACAACTGCGGCATGAACTGCTCCGGGAATAACCGGAGGAGCATCTCCAGCATCCCTTCCCCCAGGAACCCACACCCCAATTACAGTGGCAGTCACGACTTTATAATAAGAGGAAAAACAATTAAGAGATTTAACAGGCTTTTGATAAAACAAATCAAAAACTCGTATACCACCACCCGTATTTTAACCCACACAACCTCCGTGCCAGCAAAGCCAGAGGCTGTGAATCTCTGCGGATTTTTTTTTTTCTCGGTGGCGGCTTTTTTGGTTTTTGGGGAGAGGCTTCGGCGCTTGCCCAGCTTTGAACGTGTGATTTCAATTAAGCGCACGGTTACACGGCGGCAGGATCCGGGCTGGCTGTTTGCATAAGGAGCAATAAAGCGGCAGCTGTATTTATTCACTTATTTTGAAGCCGCTGTCGAAGACAGGATGCTAAACGGGAGAAAAAAAAGTGTTTTAAAGGCAAACTTGAGGGACTCTTTTGTCTCCTGCAGGCATCCTCTCCCCCGAGGTTCCCGCAGCCATCACCAGGGTGCTTCCTCGCGAGTGGGATAATCCTGCCCGCGCATTCCCGTAATTTCCATTTGCTTTGAAATGCTCAAAAATAGAGAGATGCTCATTTATAGCGAGGTCTGTTTCTACAGCTTGGGCAGCGAAAAGAAACTTGAAATGGCACGAATCCCTGATTTAAGGCAGGATCGACTGGACACGGACAGCTCGCCCACGCACGCGGAGAGGTTTAATGCCGGGTTACGAAGCCACGGGGGATTTTATCAACCCGGAGACTCAGGCCTGGGGATTTCTCCGTGTTTGTGTACACCGGAGGGAATTTTCGGTGTCAATTCGGTGCATGCGGAGACGGGA